TCTCTAAGATAAACTTTTATTTTTGGCAAGTTTTTTTAGTTTTTAAATCTCACGATAACAAGTGTCGTTTAAGATTCCCCTTTAGAACTAGTTAGCGACTCGGGCGATGCCTCGGATTTTTTGTTTCTTTATTGTTTGTAGATATTGTGATATTTCAAGCTTATAGTTTTGTTAAAATATTACTCCATATTCCACAAAGTTAGTTAATCAATTGTTGTGTGTGACTATTTTATTTAATTCCACGCACTATGTTGTCTTGCTAGAATTTTGTACCTATAATTTGAAATTTGTTCATTTTAAAATAGGATATATTTTGAAAATTAAATAGAAATAATAAAATCCCGTAAATGCATAAGTAATAGTTAGAGTAATTAACAATATCGTACTTGATTGCTTGTTTTTACATTTAGTAGGATATATTATTTATTAAGTAAATCATTTATCGACTCTATCTCTGTCTCATTTTTTTCATTTTGTGATGCATCTTGGTTATTTGCACGGAGATGTTTTTCTTCTACATCTTCTCCTTGCATAAGGTGCTTTCCAGAGTTGAGAAGCTTCGTTTGTTCAGTTTCCCTGTACAAAGTCATATGATGATATCAGTGCTTTGGGTTATTTTTTGTTGGGAAAAGGAGGGTTGGGGGTAGGGGTATCAATATATGCTTACTGTGTGGTTCTTTTTCTTTTTAGTTCATTCTCCTCTTATTTAGTTGATGTTGTGTCACTTGCATTTGGGGAACTTGTGTTGTGCAACATATGCGGATCTTCTTGTGTACCTTGGTTGTTGTTCTTTTTTTATGTTTTCATCATGCCATGAATCTTTTGCAGCAAATATTTTGTTTCTAAGTTATAGTTTATGTTAAATGTCTTGTGACAATTCAACTCCACTGTGTCACTTCTTGTGTTTACTTTCACACGGAATACAAATTGTTTTCCGATGCATTCTTTTAGGCGACTCATAACTTTGTCCTCCCCGTTAGCCTGCAATTTGTGCATATTATTTGAATAATAGTATTAAATGAATGCAGTAGAATATATAAATTGATTTTCAATTTCTTTTGTCTTGCCAATTTTTTTTCTTTTGGTTTATTTTTTTGTGAGTTTTGTGTTTACCTTATTGTAGAGGTCAACCATTTCTTCTAATTCAATTCCGACAATCTTCTCAACTTCTTTATCAAATAATGTCATTTGGCAGCTTCTACTCCCATCGTCTAATTCCACCTTCAGTAAGTACCTGTTTATGGGTTGTATTTGTAAATTGTTTTAAGTGTTATTTTTTAAAAAAATTAATTTCTTACCTTTTCACTCATAGTTGACAAACCCTACAAAACCGATCGTCATTTATTTTTCACTTGCATGTGTCACATGATAAATATTTCCATTGTCCGTCAGTGCGAAGATCCATTATTATTCCCCTGCAAGTGAACATTCCCTTTTTTGGGTGTGTAGTTATTAATTGATTAGATTGATCTGAAAATGTACAATAATGGTGCTTCTTGTGTTTTGTTTGAACTTGTATAATGTATGGTGTTTTTTTATGTTTAGTACATTACCTCCCCAGTTGGATCCATTTCCAAGATGTTCTGTACTTTTTCCCTATTTGTGAACATTTGTTCCTCAATTGGTTGTTGTTTCCTTGCCTCCAAGTATCATACAGGTGTAGTTTCTTCTTTTGACCTGCATATATTTTTTTAATTATTCATCTATCATTTTGAAAGTTATTTATTAGTGTATAGGGTGAACTGTTGTTACCTATGATAGAAGTCTTTTGCTTCTAGAATTTCCGGGTTCAAGTATATCTTTGTAGCACTTGACGATCCCCATTGATACTTATCTATTTAATAAGATTTGGGCCTTTTTATTATTTTGTATCGAACTATAATGCATATATTGTGTAGGTTTAGTTGGTTTTGTTTAGTACTTACCTCTGTATTGTGTGACTTTTAATGAGGTGATCACTGCCACTTTTGAATTCATTTCGTCGTTGGTAATATATGTAGTGATGAGGTCTGTGGCCAATCCCCATAGTGTCACCACGATCTTATTAAACCTGATGATAATTTGTTAATGCCATTGCTTTCTTTACACTTAATATGATTTCAAAAGCTAATGTTATTCATTAGTTAGGTTTCTTACTGTAGGTCTTCAATGTGTAGTCTACTTATTGGTGTGTCTTCTCCCTTGACCTTGACAATGCCTTTATCTTCCACGCCCTTTTTAAAAGTAATGACATCTGTTTATACAAATTTAGGAAACAATATTAATCTTACTTGTTTTGTTTTCTTTTTTTTCTAAAAAATGTTTTTTGTTTAATTAAGTTACCTATGCAGTATTCCTTCCAAAAAAAAGGGAAAAAGTTACCTATGCGGTAGTCCTTTTTGTTGTTTCTTTCTTCCAATCGATGTAAGGCTAGCAAGTTAAATTTTTGCATTGGAATATCGGCAACGCTCTCTCATTCTTCAACTATTGTTGTCAAGGGTGTGAATCTAATAATGAGATCACTACGAACAGCACGATAATGCTTGTCATGTTTACCAACTTCGTAATTGTTGATTGTGTACAGTTTTCCTTCTATGATATCGTCTTTAAAATCCTTTATCAATGCCTTTCGTATTATTGCTTGGATGGAGGTTCCCTATTTTTTTTAAAAGGAAAAATATTATTAGTCTTTGTAATTTTTTCATTCATACATTACTATTGTTTGTATTAAATGTCAAACCTGTTTGTCTATGAAGATCATATCCAACGATGTTGGTTCCGCACTTGTGTTATAGATCACATTCCATATTCTTGATACTCGAACTATTAGATGGCTGCCGCTTTTTATTTGCTTCAAGTCGAATATCAGCATTTTTTTTTGCCCTGCAATATGAATAAAGATGTTAGTTGTGTTGATGGAGTCAATTACTTTGTGTAGTTGATAATTGTATATATCTTTTTGTGAGAGGTACTTACCTATATATTTCAGATGTTGACTCTTAAATTGGAACTCCTTTGTTGGTACTTCAAAAGAAACTTGTGACTAGGGATGGCAACGGGTCGGATCTGGACCGGCTCCGGATGGACCCAGATTCAGATCCGTTTTTGTATGTAGGATCCAGATCCGACCCGGATCCGTCGGGTCTAAAAAATGAAGACCCAGATCCGGATCTGTCGGGTCCAACGGATCCGGGTTTGGATTCGGGTCTAAAATGGGTCCAATATATTTTGCCTAATTTTTTGCAAAAAATGTAATTTTCGAGTCAAAAAATTTATTTCAAACTTACGTTGTTGGTTATTAAGTTCAACCCCAAATTAACCAACTTATACACTCATATTTTGAATTAAAATTAAAAACAACAAAAAAATACGATGTTACAAATGAGTTAGTGAAAAAACAACGATGATGTATATAATATGATCATCCAAAATTCATCTCTTGAAAGGGTTAATCTTTATCATTACTAACATTATCAACATTTTTAATAAAGAAACCAACAATTTTAGTTTTTTTTAATAGGAAAAATAAAAAAACGGGTCCACGGATCTGGATTCGGGTCTAGGGCCCAGACCCAGATCCAGATCTGTTTTTGTCAGCAGGACCCAGATCCGACCCGGATCCGTCGGGTCCAAAATTTGAAGACCCAGATCCGTGAAAAACGGATCTGGAACCACGGATCCGGGTCGGGTCCAGATCCATTGCCATCTCTACTTGTGACCCTTTTTTTTTATAAAAAGAAAAACTATTGGAGTACGTGGTTGGTTTTTTTTCTCCTTCCTTTTTGTAATAGAGTGAATGATTACTTTGGATGCAATATTATATAGTCATATATATGTTTCAAATTTCTTCACACATTAATGCAATGTCATTTTTCTTGTTGTTGGAGTGTTTTCGATTTTGAAATATACTTAGTGTGTTAATTAGTAATTAATAGTTTTGAATTTTAAATTTATACAGAGGTTACTAAATTATTAAATTATTTTAATATACTCTATATAATCAATATAGAATTTAACTCTTAGTAATTGAGAATGTGTGTTTTTAATGTAATTAGTAACCTACAATATATTTGAATAGGATGCTCCACTTTTTATTATTTAAGTTATTAGTGTTTTTTTGAGGGTAGGATATTTTTTTAAAAAATCATATAAGCTAGTAGTATAATAGATTAATAGATATATACATGATCTTTGGTAAATTAATAGATAACGGTTGTATGGAGTATATATTTCATCCTGAAGGGGTTTGCATCTAAATTCTATACTATGACGTTTGCATACCTTTAGTGATATATACTAATTTTCATAAAGTATGAATACATCAGTTATTAGTGTTTTTTTGGGGGTAGGATCTTTTTATTACTTTTTTAATTTTATAATTTAGTAGTATAATAGATTCATATATATATATGATCTTTGGTAAATTAATAGATAACAGTTGTATGGAGTATATATTTCATCCTTAAGGGGTTTGCATTTAAATTCTATACTATGACGTTTGCATACCTTTTTTATATATATATACTAATTTTCATAAAGTATGAATATGTCACAGTTGAGCTCCTATTAAATTGATAGCTAATTGTTTATTTTGTATTTTAAAAATTATGAAGTAAGGTAACTAATCATTAAGATCTCACCTTTTAAAAAAAAATAAAAAATAAAAACTCATTTTTAAGCTATGTTTGGATTAAATTTTTGAAGTGCATACAAACCTGCTTATTTGCAAAGACATTGTAAAACCTTATCAATATTGAGATTAACACGTCTATGTTTAACACTATGGCTGATTTTATTATATTAAATTTAGAACCAAAGATAATTATACATTAGAGAATATTTCCTTGTACACTACATTCATTGTGAACTTGCTCTCCACTGTAGTTGATGTAGGTGTGGGGATACATATTTTGAGGCCTTTACAGGTAGTCACTCGTGATACCGCTACATAAAGTTGGCCATGACTAAATACGGGCTCGGGTAAGTATACCCCTACTTGCTCGAATGTCTGTCCTTGACTATTATTTATTGTCATTGCAAAACATGGTTTTAGAGGAAATTGCCTCCGCTTTAAGGTGAATGGCCACTGTATCAGATGGTGACATTTCCACCCTGCTGATTGGTACCTTCTTGCCCACATGTGTTCCAGTTATAACTTTGGCTTGGATTACTCGTTTCTCTAATCTTGTGACAATAATTAGTCTTGTACCATTGCAAAGTCCACGACTGTGGTCAATGTTCCGCAACAAAATAACAAGGCATCCCACCTTAAGTTTTAATTCATGATTTGGTATTCCTGGTAACTGCAGTGTATTCAAGAATTCCGTTGGGTATAATGCTTCGACATTCACCCCCGTCCTAGTCAATGGGCATACTCTATTTGCACTCTTATAGACTTTTTCCTCTCCTAGTATCATTTTGAGTATTTGATCATTGATCTTATCAACCAAGTCATTTTTCGATGCAAGTATGGCACGTTGTTGTAGGTATGTTGGGTTGGTGTATTCTTGAAGAAGGTCTAGGTAGACACATTCCACCATTTCTTCAATTGAGACTTCTCCGGCCTTTATCAACAGGTCATCAGGTATGTTGATCCACATTGGTTCATCCTCCCCTTCTTTTGCAATTGCTGGTAATTTTCCATCTCCTACATGTAATACCCAGTTGCTGAACTCAGTTAGTTGTCTCTTCTCTTCTTCATTACTACTCTGCAATAATCTCATGTTTGTCTCTAATTTAAAGACTATACAATGTGGCCATATTGCTGAGGATTTGTTAATGGACGCATCGATGAAATCTGCTTGATTAACCTTTTTAACAACAGGAAGAACCTGTCTAAAATCTCCACCTAAGACAACTAACTTGCCACCAAATACTTTTTCCATAGAGGATGGGTCACGTAGTTGCATGATATCTCGGAATGTACGGTCAACTACTTCAAAGGCATGTATGTGTGCCATTAGTGCCTCATCCCATATAACGAGGCTTGCCTTTTTTATTAAATGGGCTAGATCAGATCCCTGGTCAATGTTGCAGCAGGAATACTCATTTAGTGCAAATGGTATTTTAAACCTCGAGTGTGTTGTTCGTCCACCTGGCACAAGTAATGATGCGATACCCGATGATGCCACCACAAGGACTATGCTATTTTCAGATCTTAACTTTGATATTAAGGCTCTCCATAGATAAGTTTTCCCTGTGCCTCCACTTCCATAGACAAAGAACACCCCGCCTTCTTGTCGATAAGCAGATTGGATTATAGTGTCGTAAATTTGTTTCTGTTCAACGTTTAAACCTCTTTGAAGGTGATTTGATTCTTGAGTCAATGTGCATGTGTCATAATTTTGCTCCTCCATAATCATCCTATTTCCAATGTCTTCAAGATGGGTCATATCAGGAAATGGGATTCCAGGGAACTCTTTTAGGCTTCTATTTCCTCTTTTTAAGATCTGTTCAAACTCATAGAGCGAGTAATTTTGGATTTCATCTTCTGCTAGACACAACCCTTCAATACCGAGACGACGTCGTTGTCTATACTGTATATCATCGGAAAGGTTTTGCCAATGCTCCTCCCATAGAGTTTTTGGTTCTGACACCTCACAGAAGAGTAGAATTGTTACATATAGCTCACGCAGTTGTGGTGCATTTGACCATGTAGCAGCTTCTTTTAGAACCTCATTCCACTCATTGTCCCCGTCAAGTAATCCTAGGAAATAACATGTTTCCTTGTATGTGGCACAAATGATTCCATCGACTGTTCGGATGTCTTGGAAGCAAGTTGGACCTTTGATAATGTTGAGTAGCATCCTCAAATAGTATTTTTCACTGGAGCTAGGATGAGCAAAATATATTCTTCCTATTTTAAACCCCCTATCTCGCCTTTTCCATATTTTTGATCTTTTTTTCACACCCACTCGGTTGGGAAGTCGGCATATGTGAGTTCTCGAGCATCTGGATACAACTTATTGGTCTCCATCCATTCCATCAAGCTTGTTTTTCGAGCCCCTACTCTTTCAACCCTACTCTTGTTCATCTTGTAGATGGAAGGTCAGCCTCTCAACAGCGGGGTCCTTGAATTGCATTTCAAAACCAAATATTTGCCAGCTTGCTTCCGCGGCCGAGACATACCTACAATTCATGAACACCACTAAAGTGGTTATTTTATTTTTAAAATATATAGGAAAAGATGTTTATTGATTTACTAATAACTATTTGTGAATAATACCTGCAGTTTAGGTAGGAAGCAATTTCATCAACTACTTGTTTAGACCCATTATCTTGATTCTCCATTGTAGGTGTGTACCTTTCTTCAATCATTGCAAGAGCCATATCTGGTCCTTTATTCATGTATTTGAATAGGTATTTTAAAGACTTATCTCTATTACACCATTCTACGTTTATATGGGCTGCATACTTGACCAACAAATCAACATTGTGGGGGATGATAAATCTGTTATCTATTGTGTGGCCATTTTTTATAGATGTTCGACCATCATCACGTCGTCTGTATATTGGGAAACCCTCATCAGTTACAGTTGTTCCGGAATTGAAATCCTTAGGATAGTATTTGGAGCATTTCCCATGTTGCATGCAAGGAGCTTCGATTTATAATCCTACAAGGCCCATGTACCATTAGCTAGACAGCTAATTCGTATGCATATGGGTCGACTTCTTTGTCTGGAAGTTCCGCTGAGATTATGCTGTCAATGTCTTCAAGGTTATTAATCTTATCCTCCGGATGTAGAAAAAGAAGTATGTGTGCATGTGGCAAACCTCTCTTTTGGAACTCAATGGTGTATATAACTGCAAAAAAAAAAAACAAAATTAATTTCTGGTTTTATTATTAATATCAAAGTTTTTGAAACTCGTTAATTTCTCTTCATTCCTGCAAGAACCCTCCCAAAATGTTCATTTGTTGTTAAGTCTCTGATTATCAAGCTTTAGTTTAAACACACGAGCCACGATGTCTGGGCGATCTTCAGGCCGCTGCCCCGGATTTAATGCTAAGAATTCTCTAATCTCACTCCATGTTGGATTACATGTGAATGTGATGAATAAGTCTGGTGGCCCGGCCCATCTACATGTGGACATTGCATCGTGGTAGTTCTGGACTCGAAATCTGGGGCTATTAGTGAATGATGAAGGTAATACTACACGTTGCCCTATTGAGGCGGGTGTTGTATCCCCTCGAGAAACTGCATTTGTTAACCCACGCAAAATTTCCTTTCTTATTGTGGATTGATTGAGCCATACATAATCTAGCCTCACTTCTTCAATGCATGTCAGTGCATCTACTATGAATTGTTGGCGTAGCCTCCCACAATATATGAAAGTCATTGCTTCTTCGCACAATTGATAAGCATAATACTCTCTCATGGTGACTGTTTTCTTTTCCTTTCTAGTTGTGGTCTCAACATCTTTATGGGGGATGTCAATTTTGTAACCATCCTCTCCATAAGGAAACAACAATGGATATTGTAAGGCCATAAAATTGGGGTGCTTCTTTGAGATCCTTCAAAGTCCATAGCTTCTTTCCTCTATGATGACATCTCTAGTACTTTGTTGTGGATCACCTGTACTAACAATTAATGCTGCGAGCTCCTCTGTAGTTGGTAGGTTGTACTCCCTACCATCTTTTGACCGCACACAAATCAGGCGTGCCCAAACATTTGGCATTTCAGTGACAACAAATCGTTCCTTTGCCATTTTAAACACCTTAGCAAGTTCGTTGTTTTCATTAAGCATGTTTGCAAGACCAACACCTATTTCGAGATCCAACTCACTGGTGACATTGCTTGTGAGGGATTTGATTCTGTTGGCTACCTTATTTTGAGTGTCATAAATATAAAGTTAGGTGAATCTTGGTTGTTCACCAACAGGAGGGAGTAATGAGCCTATCTTGTGATAGTTTTGTCCGTGTAATCTGAAGACATATGGCCCAGGACCTCTATTAACACTTCAGTCAACCCTTCCTCCCATAGATGTGAATGCGAAGATAGAGTTATACGGACTGATGTTCTCCTTGAAATTTTTATTTTGAGTACCTCCATCTGGATTTAAAAGGGTTCTTAAGAATTAAGGTGGATTCTTGAGTTTTGGGAGTTGTATCTTCCCCTTTTGACAACAGATGTTGTGCTTAGGGTTGTTAACTGAGCCAACACTCTTCACTCTTTCTTCAATCCAAACCCTTGCACTGCAGTCAACACATTTTTTTGTTGGTTGCCCAAAATTCCATGTTTCTTTGTACTTCCCTGTCATGATATTGATTATAGTTACATACGACATTGTACATCTAAATAGTTGTAAAAGCATTAAAAGATAATGGCCTTACTTCGTCGCTTTTTTCTTCCAGATACGTGTGCATGTATGTTGGTCTCGCTCCTACATCCAATTGATTTTGTACCTGCATGATATTAAAACTCAAGGTTTATTTCTTTTATACCTATTAATAATCTTTTCACAACATGATTTATGCCAATTATGATTATACCTGTTGTTAAATGGGTGTCAATTTGATTGGTCTGGTCGTGCATTTCATTTACTTCTAACTCCACTCTTTGTTTTTGGCGTGATGATTTCGAACATTCATCATTATCAATCCTCCTTTTTCGACAATAAGTTTGAGGGGACCCTTTGGAACCAAGGATGGTATATTGGATGTCAGAACACAATATATACAAACTCATTAATTGTGTATTAACTTTGTGCAGTTTCATTTTTTTTTTGGTATTGTTAGTTTGTGTACATACCTTCACTTAATGTACTTGATACACTTTGTTGAGATGGTATGTCGCTGGCTAGTGTGGCCCTTACTCGGTTTTCTCTTTGCCTTAAAATGTATGGACGTAACAGTCGTGCGTGTCTTGCTTGCCTTGCCTTGTCTATCTCAAAAAAACATGAAATGTGAACATATTAAGTGATTCTTATGCTATAAAATTTTGAATAATGAGATTTTTCGTCTGTTTACCTTCACTCAATATGGTCCTTACTATTTGTTGAGTTTGTATGTTATTGTCTTGATTTCGTATTGGTCCATACTTGGTTTGCCCTTCTTTGCCTAATAATGTGTTGGCGTAAGAGTCGTCCTTGTCTTGCCTTTTCTATGCCTACCATCGCTGCATCAGCATTTTTAACCTGTTAAAATATATATATATATAAACATCTGGGTGGCAGGTTTAATAATACTATGCTTATATATATATTCAAGGGATCCATTTAACCAAATTGGACTTCTGTTTGCCAAGTAGATAATAATAGAGCTGAAAAAAGGAACATCCCAAAAGTATCTATTCTGATAGTTATAGGACGAACGATAACTTAGCTAACTGACATTGATTTTAGCAAATGATAAAAGAACTACAATTTTTAAAAAGGTAGTGCACAACTAAAAATAAGTACAACATAATGATAGCAATCCCAGAAAATCCCCAATAAAATAAATTTATTTCTCATTAATTGTCTTATTCTTGTAAAATATTTAATCCAACAAAATAAAATGGGAAACCATAAAGAGAGATATAATGGATTGCAAATAATAAAAAGATAATGTAACTTCTAGGCTTTATATGTTAGTCATAGCCAAAATATGTTTAGGTTCTTCACCATGTCCGCAAGCTCGCCCAATTAATGGGGTGGCCTAACTTCTTGATCTTGCGTAGTATCTCTATAAGGTTATCATTTTGTTGCAAACATCCATATACTCGATCTTCATAGATTCTAATGCAATCTCTTTTTCAACTCATTTAATGTCTGCAATTTGTCGTCTCTTTCTCTCAAGGCGGATGGCCTCTAAGTTGAAATCTGCTATGTCAAACATGTATAGCTCTTTAAGCTTTGCAATGGCCTTTCTTGCTGCATTTTCAGTTATAGTTTGCAAGTCCTTTGATGATGTGCACTGTATACTGATTGGTCTCGCCTTTCTATTCATAGTGAAATTGATTTTAACTACAAACTTTTGACGGAGGTCCTTATGGTATTGTTTATACAATGGTTGTGGGAGACCATAATACATGGTGATGTTTGATAAGAGGGCAGTGAAACTTATATTGAAGATTTTCTTTTGGTTCTCCATGAAGGATATTAGAATTTCCCCCAGTAAGTGATAAATCCTGGTATATTCAATTTCAGTGACATGTTGAAAATTATAAAGGTTGGTAAATTTTTTTATAAAGTTCAACAATATGTAGCTAACATATGCCAACTAATTACCATGACTATATGTAGCTAACTTATGGTATTCTTTTTCCGGGTGCCTGTAGTTGTAACTTATGAGCAATGTCTGAACTACATGCCAACTAATTACCATGACTAATATTCCTTTTTTAAGGAAATAAATGTAACACACTATCTAAATTACAAAACTGCATTGTTTAAGGCCTCTGTACTAAGCTAAAATAGTTAAATTACTTTGAAATTATTCACTAACATGAGGGTCTGAAGCCCATAGCTTTCCTTCGCCCCCCCCAAAATGTAACATCCTTAATAAAAAGGATACAGAACTAAACCATCAAATCAGAATTTGACTTGCTTTAAAAAGTTGTAATCAATTTCCCCTCTCATTGTTAGTCAACCATCATGGCAATGAAATTATTTTTAGAAAGTCCTTCTATAAAGTCCTCATAAACAACGCATGTTAAGCTAGAATTATGTAGTTGTAACTTATGAGCTAGAATTATTAAGTTCTTCTATAAAGTCCTCAGAAATTGATTTTATAAAAATAAATTGATGTAATCACATACATGAAAGGGTGATAATTGAGCTAGAATTTCACTTGATCAAAAGTGACAATATTATGAGAGATTAGCCA